CCCCGGGCCCGCTCCGCTGCGCCCATCCGCCCGGCGCCTGGTCCGAACCGGGGCCGCCGGAGGAAACCTGCTCCCTGCTTTTAGCTGAAGAGCAAGCGGGCGCCGGGAAAGCAATCTCTCTACGGCAGCGACGGCTGAAATCCGACCGTGCTTCCAGGATCTTCCTCATTTCACCCCAGATACGCACCTGCCCCCTGCAGAGCATCGGTTCCCTGTGCGGAACACACCAAACCGCTCTCGTTCCTCCTGCCCTGCGCCCGACACCCCCTGACCGGGCGACCTCCTGTCTCCATCGCCACCTCTGCTTGCCTTGAACCACCAGCTTGACTGCCTTCTGTCGCCGCTCAACTCGGCGCGGCCTCCTCGGTCTCGAGGGGAAATCTAGAGAGAAACCCTCTTTGTCCGCTTTGCCAGCCCTTTCGCGGGCACCTGAACAGCCCAGTGGCCCCGGCCCGGCGTGCGCAGGGCTTGGAGCCGGGGGGCAAGGGGGAGCGTCTCTGTGTGTGACAGGAGCTGCTGGGTGGGCAGGGGCTGTTCCCTGCACGTCCCGTGTGCAGGGGGACATCCCCTGTGCGGGTGAGCCCAGCTGACAGCGGCAGCAAAGGGTGCTCCTGCTCCCAGGGGAGCCGCCCAGCGCAGGTGGAGGGTTTGGGGGACCCAGAGAGGGGGTGTCCCCCGTAGGGGCTTTCCCTGGGGGATCAAGGTGCAGTGCAAGGGGCTCCGCAGCAGGCTGGTTGGGTAGCGAGGACTCGGTAACCCAGAAGCTGAGGAACAAGGGCTGGCACTGGGCTGGTGGTCCAGGGTTGTGGGGGGTGGTGGTGAAGACGAGCACTAGCAGTGCCAGGGCATGCCAGAGGGAGAGGGGTCGGCAGCTGTTCTGCACATCTGACACACTGCTGTGAAGGGGAGAAGCGCTGGTGTGGATGGGCACTGCTGCTTCCTTATCTTGCTAAGTTTTGCTGCAGAGTAGATTTATGTTTCATTAACAGGTTGTCTACTTAGTGCCAGCTGCCCTGACGCTGCTTGTCAGCATTAACCCTGCAATAACAGGTATGATATTGCTGTGCAAAATAGAGTCTTTGCTCAACTTTTGCCCCTGAAAGGTGTTTTTTTTAATTGAATCACAGATTAAGATCAGGCCACATGCAAACATGTCCTACTACCTTTTGAGGGCAAAAAGCTGTGGGACCTGCTTCTACGAAAGCTGGTCATTGGTTTCGTACTCATAGTTGGACGTGCTGCAGGTGAACGGAGGAGCCCTGCTACTGGGATGGTCTTACCTTTGCACCCCGATTCCAGCGCTCAAAGCCTGAGTGGATTTCAGGGCTCAAAGCCCCGGCACAAGCCAGGGAGCATGCTCTGAACCTGGCTCTGGTGTTGACCTTAGCACATTAATTCACTTTGTTTCCTTGTTGTAAATCTGCGTTTTTGCTTATCTACCTCATACAAGAGCAGTGGAGCTCTGCACAGCCCTTTGAAAGAGCTAAAGGTCTTGCTTGGTATCGAGTGCTGCAGCTACCCCACAAAGCATGTGGGCAGTGATGGGGACATTTAGAGGCTTCAGTGCAGTGGCTGCGTTTCCAAGGGTGTACGCTAAGGGGCTAATGCCACATCACATGTTGAGAGAATCAGTCAGATCAGATTTGGTCCGTGACTCCAGAAAATAGTTCATTTTTTGTATTTTCATCAAGTAGAAATAATTTTAAAATAACATTTTATATTCACAAAATGACTGTATCTTTTCTGGATGAATACTTACTCTGCATAAACCAAAACCACACTTAACGCCAAAAAAAGAAAATCTTCAAGAGTCCATGCTGTTGTCACAAATCACACCGTTGCAGTCTCTCAGCGTTCTGGCTACCTTAGGCACATAAAGTGGCAGCATTCATAAAGCCAGAACCCATGGGGGTTGGTTGCCTGTGGTTTTGAACATTTCAGGGGAAGTTTATTTGCGTGATAGGTGTAGCTTCAACATAATGGCACTTGGCTGGTCCAGAGAATCTGCATGTTCAACTCACAAGTAGGTTTTTGTGGCTTGTGCCAAGATCTGTGGAAAATAAATATTAAAATAGCACAACTATTTTATAACTGGACATTTATGTAAATTCACCAAGGAATATTTGCCATTCAGGTCTGTGGAAGACCCAGATTCTGCCTCTGCTGAGCTGCAGTAAGTTCAGCCAAATGGGGAATTGATTACACCGTTGGCTCGCAGTGAGCTCTTGAATTTTGGCAGCTCATCATCTTTAATGCTTGGCTGGAGGGGTCAGTGCCCAGAAAAGACTGCTTTTAACTGTTGACATGGCTGAGATCAGCGAGAACTGCCCGTGTCATTTGCTCGCCTCTCCCTCCCGAGCCCCTGGGAATGGACATGGAAAACCACAAGAATCTGTGGGCCCGTTCAGATGTTTCACATCGTCTGCATTTCTCTGTTTAAAAACACTAGTCCCCAGGCAGAGATGTCATCAGCGTTGCTCATCATCACAGGCAAAAGCTCGGGCAGAGGCTTATCAGGGGGTGTGAGGGAAGACGCTCCCTGCAGTGTGCTGGTCGCTCGGTAGCCCTGATGGCTGGCTGGGAGCTGGGGCTTGCTCCCCTGGGCTCCGGTGGTCCTCTGGGGTCCTGCTGAGCGCCTGGTTATGGCTGTGAGCTCCGCAAAGGCCATTCCTCCTGCTTAAGAGAGCTTTCATTTGTTATCTGCCTTGTGATTTTTTTCCATGCATGTTGAGTGCTGGAGCCTGTTTTGTTTGCTGGAGAGAATAGGAAACTCTTTTCATTGAGGTGCTGCTGCCAGGAAGTTGCATTCCTAGGAGAGCAAGCCCCAAACCCACTAGTGTTTATTTTCAACAGTACTTTTTAGCAGATTTCCCTAGTCATAAAGATGCTGGTACTAATTCCATCTTCTTGCCTAAGATGTGTGTGTTTGCTGGAGGCATCGTTTTTAGCGACTCAGTTGCTTTTTGATTTATAGGGTTTACTTCATGCTACATTGCAGTTGCTGGCAGTCTGTTTTTTCCCTCAGATAATGGTTTTTGGAGGAGCCTCTGTGACCTTCATTCTGCTGGTTGTATTGTTGGGACCATTGCCTTGGCTTGCTCTTTGTTTGCGTACGCTCAAGGAAACATTTTGCACCAAGAGGAAGGCAGGTAAGCAGTGATTTTTATTTTCCCCTGCACGAATTCAGTGTGGCAGGCCATCTCCTGGTGGTCACCTTGCTGAACTTTATTTGCTGGGCTGCTGCAGTGAGTGCTGTTGGTCCAGGGGACTCAAACCAAGGAGGAGGGACCATAGTGCTCCAAACCAGTGATCTGTTGGACAAAACAGCTAAAGGGAGAGCGAACAGTCGTGATTGCTTGCCTCATTGTGGCAGTTAGATTTAACTGGGGGCAGTTCTGGCTTTCAAAGACCAGGGCCCTAGCACAGTGTAACAACTTTGTGTTCTCTTGCTGGAGCTGCAGGAATGGGAATTAATGTTTTAAAAACTCTTGAGGTGATACCATATGCATGTTTATCTGGCACGGGCTGCCGAGTCCTCTGAACTGCCAGGGACTGAGGGGGAGGGAGGATTTCTCACCTGGACGTTTGGTTGTTACCTAAAGGAGGTGCTTGCACAGTACTGAGGTGAAGCACTGGCAGCTACTGCGGCTGTTCATGGTCTGGAATACCGGGATGCTGCTTTGCTCTGTGTTAATGAGGGAAATGTGCTGTGGAATAGAAGTTTAGCAGGAATTTCTGCAGCTGTATAGCTGGGTCACGTGTGTTTATAGATTTGTGTGGGAAGCAAAGTTACTCCGTGTAAATACCTTTATAATTATAATCCTAGTGAAATATATTGAACTTCTCCAAATGAGCAGACACTACTGTTTTGGAGGCAAAATTTGTATTTTTTAAAATTAAACACCTGCTTGTATTTTTTTCTGATCTGTTTTTTGTTTGGCTTTTTAGAGAGTTGTTTGGTCTGGTGATTATTATAATATGGATGAGTCTTTGCCGCAGTTCAGCAAAGTAAGTTTTGTTTCCTTTTTTTTTTTTTTTAATCTGTTCATATGTTCACTTTTAGTGACTAGCTTCTTGAAAACACATAGTTGATTTTGGCTGCTTGTTTTTCTGCTTCATGTCACTGTCTGAACCTTCTCAGACACCTAAGCAAGTAGCAGCTGGTGCTACAGCCTGTGGGATCTTGCACAGATAAAAGTCTGTGGGGGGAAAGTAAAGCTACAGGAAACATTTTTTCTGCTCCCCCTGCCATAATGGGCAGGGAACATTCTCCCTTTGCGCAAGGACAGCGTGCCCCTTCTGTGGAACAGGCTAGTGAGTGTTAGCCGTGACGTAATGCTAATGAACTGCAAAGCCGTTTCTGCCACTGCTCCTGATTTACAGCACTTTCCAGTGAGGGTCTCTGTACTGGTGTCCGCTGCGTCCACCAGAGCAGGCGGGTGATGCAGGCAGAGCTGGCAGAAGGCTCTGGGTGGCTGCCTGGCTGCAGTGGCTCCACGCTTTTCCCCTCCAGCCTCTTCAGAGGTCTGTGCTGCAGCAGTTTTGCTAAATTCCTGTTAGCTAGGAGTATGAAAAATCCCAATCTGCCAAACAGTACCTTTGTGCTGGGAAAACATGTCACAGATGCTCTGGGCAAGCAGGGTGCTTCTTTTTTTTTTCACCTGGTTTATGTAGCCTGAGATGGCAGAAAAACTTTTTCTGCTGGCATGTAGTGCCTCTCCAGTAAAGGACTCTGCTGATGCATCCACAGCAGCTACATTAAAGTGGCCAAAGGCTCTCTGCTGTTTTTCCAACTGCAGGCAGGTGTGAATGTTTCGTAGCAGCCTGATGTGAGGTAGCTCTGTTGCATTTGCTTCTTTATAGGAGTCCACTGCGTGGAGTTCGCTTGATCGCTGCAGTCGTGGTCGCCCTCTTCCCCTTTGTTTCGTGGCTGTACATTTACGTGAACAAAGAGATGCGAGCATCTTGGCCAACGCACTGTAAAACAGTGATTTAATTGGGTGGGAGAAAGTATAAAATAAATATTCTGACCTTACTTCCCTTTGCTTTTGGTTCTTACTGAAAGGTTAGTATCAGTTTGATAGGACCCAAGAATGCCTGGCTGCTTCCAGCAGTGCGGTTTGAGATCTGTTAAAAACATTGAGGAACGCTGTCAAATCTGAGTGGAGAATTTTTCTATGGAAACTGTTGTTCAGCTGGCTTCTTCACACATTTTCAAAGTACTGTTGATCTAATGTGTGTTCTAATGGTATATTCAAGACATCCTGGCATCCCTGGATCACAACCATTGTTGGAAAGTTGTTTGTTTCAATAAATGACTATAGCCATAAAACTTCCAGATTATCTGCCTGGATAGTCCATTGAGACTAATTGAAAAATTGAGCAGTCTGTATTTCTGCTCCTACACTAAAATCATACATAGAATATATCTGAAGAAATATTTTTCTTATTACCTTTAACTGAAAATTACTGGTTTTGCAGAGCAATAAATACTGTTTTTCTAAGGAAAATTCAATGAAAGCTTCCATATCTTTTATTTTCTGTGAGATGTGTACTCAAGACTGCCACCAGCAGACGTGGTCACTATTACAACTCTGCTTCTCACAGAATTTCTGTTCCTGGAAAGCAGAACCCACACAGCAGCCCAGCAACAGTAAGCATGATCCACCACTACTAATCCTGCAGAAGGAAGCACAGGTGAATACACTGGACACACAAGCTGGCTGGGAGAGAGCCAGAACAGGTCCAGATGCAGCACAGCAACATGCTTTAGATCCTTCCACATCAGGGCTTCTTCACTCAGTACTGCTGCAGGCTAATACAGCTGTGCACACGTAGATCCCAGTGGGTGTATCTGCAGCATTACATGATGTAGCATAGATGGTCTCCGTTTTCCTTGGGCTTAGCTTTTTTTGAAGATTACTTTAGTCTTTTAAAGCAATGTTAAGAAGACTGCATTAGGTTCCAGGGTGGACTAATTCTGCCAGATATGAGACATTACTATGATGTTAAAAGAAAAAAAAAAATTGAAATGTGGCTGGGCAGGTATAATTCTGCATGCTTTAATTCTGACTGGTACAAAAAAGTGGCTTTTTTTTTTGACAATATTCATAATATGGTTTGCATTTTTTCACAGTAAGTAACAATCCGGTCAGGATTGGGCGTTTCAAGTCAACATTCTGCATTCAAGTATAAATATATTTATTTCAAACATGGTTACTGGCCTTCTCTATTCTCCACGAAGAAACTAGGTCTGTTTTTTTTACAGAAACATAATTTCTAAAATTCTGTATCCAAGAGAAAAATGTTTGAGTTAAAGCTATAAGGATCAGCCATGCACATCTTTCTACAAGCAAATAATAAGCTGAATGCCCTGCTTTTTTGTCCAAGTACTTCCTGAAGAAGAGCAATTTGTAATTGCTTATCATTTTCAGAAATGCATAACTCTCTCTGAAATTCTGCCCCTTCCCTTTAGTATCATTTTATCTTCATAAACATAAATAGTTCCAAAGGCATTGCTTTCCGGTGGAGTTTCAATAACCCCCTCCAAAGTCAGATGATGAACTCCGTGAGAATCTAAACAATAGCCACCATCGTGCAGGTGCCCTGCAAGAAAGCAGACCACGCACTGATGGGAATGTATGACCGAAAGGGCATCTTCGTAATTCCAGGCTAGGCAAACTCTGTCTGAAGCATCTGGATGAATGGGCAGATGACCTGGGAAAGAGGTTGAGAGGGAAAGAAGCAGGAGAGCTACTTTAAGTATAACCAAACTCTGCCTTCATTGCTGGGAAGTTCAGACATCTAACTGTATACAGAAAGCTCACCCGAGTGTGAGACGTGGTTGTTATTCTACTTCACAGGTTACATGTGTACCTCAGTGGAGCTACAAAGCTGCTACGTGTTTTCCTCAGCTAACATACATTGGCTACATAACTTTTTTTGCATATATCCCCATATATCCCCCACATCCACCTACCCATAACTACAACTTTTTCTTGGTGTTCATCAGAGAACTTGAGGACTTCATTGAACCAGTCCAGCTGGGCTTGGCTAAATCCTCCGTTAAACTCTACAAACCGAGGTTCTTCGAGTCCTGCAGTGAAGAAGAAGGTTAGGCATAGGTGCATACACCTCTTGTGGCTCCCCTATTTGCTTGCCTTATGTAAGTCTGCTTACGATAGATGATTTACTCTTTTAACCTTTTTTTTTGCATCTCTTGGATCAAAACGCCAGCCTCCTTGGACAAACAAGACAAAATTATTTGTGTTTTTTGGGGTTTTGGTCATGCTGCATGCACAGGATTTCTACTCTTGGGTCTCCCCCCCACATGGGATAGGGTGGGCATCACTCGATGCTCTGCAATAGCAGCTGCACCAACAGCTGCCTTTTGTTCTGGTACCACAGGGCACACAGCACAACATAAACCCATCCCAAAAGCACCAGAGCAGCATGATGGGTATGGGGGAGCATCTCCTGTGCCCGCCTAGAGACCCACTGACTGGCTCTCAGCCGACAGCAGGGAGGTGGAGGAGGTGGGCAGAAATGGGGCACATGCCTCAGCCCCCCAGCAACCAGATGTCAGCCCCGGGAGCTGCCTCATTGCTCTGGGAGGCAGAGGTTCAGCCGCCCGTGCTCCCTGCCGAAGGGTCGAGCCAGGGGGTACCTGCGGGGCTGTTGAGGTTGTCGTTGGGGTTCTTCTCCCGCAGCAGCCGCAGGGACTCCCGGTAGCGGGGGCTGTCCGGCTCCCTGCCCAGGATGCTCAGGTCGTAGGCGTCGAGCACGACAACGCGGAACCGTGTGGCTGGGCTGAAGTGATAGGCCTGGCAGTCCCCGGCTGGCGGGCCGGCCCCGGCCCCGGCAGGACGGCTGTTGAGGCCGGTGTGCACGGTGTGCAC